TTATCGGTAGTGTATTTAATACACACAATTAGTGAAACTTTATATTTTACAATGACTCGTAAAACAATAAAGTTGTATTAGTGACTGGATTATCTCACTGGAAACTATCCTCCCAGGTTAATAGTTAAGCAATAATAGACAGATATCCCTCAACTTATCCTATTAATCCATTACTTTACTCCCTCAACATTTATGTTTTTAATAGATTTATAGTTAATCGAAGAATATTCCAAATAGAAAAATTTTAATCTTTAATAATTAAAAACCTAAAAATGTTATAACCTTCTAATGGAAACCGAACAAGGAATTGAGGCAACCTATAAAAACTGCGGTCTATCTCGAGAATAGTACATTTTAAGGCTTTAAAACGGTCTTGATATCAGCGTCAAAATCTTTTAAGTACAATTCATCTCGTCATGGATGGATACATTTTTCAATGACATCTATCTACTGTAATAGTAGTAAGGTTTCAAGTTTTGAAATCGGCATACATAGCCATAGGTGCATTCATATGCATCATAGGCATTCATAGACATTTCGATTAGAGGGGAGATGATAAAAAAAAAAAAAAAATGAAATGGCGGGAGTTTATAAAAGGTGGTAAAATAATATGTAAAAATAAAAATAAATAAAATCGACAAAATTATTGTGAAAACGAACAAAATAAAATAATGAATATTTAAAAATAATTTAATACAGTTATAGATTTTTTTATTATTTATTTTTACTTTCGCTGACCTATATATGAAATATATAGTAAAGGAAAGTATTGTGATCATGAAAATTTTCGAATCTCAGTTTTCAACGGAAATACACGTTTTCGGTCTCCTGAGTCCAAATAACCAAGTCTCACAAAATGATCTGTATGTGTCTGTGTGTGGATATATGTCTGTGTGTGTGTGTTAACAGTCCTGCTCAAAAACGAAAATTTGTACGAAAGTAAATTTGCATATTTGAGACTTTTATATGTTAGAGATGTTACAGCAACTTTTTCGTAAAAATCAGCCAACCGAAAGTGGCACTTTATGGAACGGACTAAACACATTTTTACGATTTTCTCGAAAACGACTTTAACGATTTTGATTAAATATATCATTTCAGTGTAAAATTAAGCAGTTTTAAATAAAATATAGTTTTTATTCTGATTGATGTTCTCTAACAGAGTTTAAATGGCTAATTTTTAATATTAGCCCCTTTAAAGTACTTTTAATATTTTTTATTTGAAATAATTGATCATTTCACATTAATCTCTAATCTAAAAGATAGTTAAATTTAAAATATGAAAGAATTTGATAATTAAATAAAGGAGAAATAAGAGATCGTAACGGAGAATAGTTGTAATTGAGGAACCAAAGGAATACGAGCGCACCCAAGCTCGCCCGAAAGATTAGAACACGCATCTATACATAACATGAGCTTAATATATTACCGAATCCGACAATATTGTTAGTATTATTTAATACTTAATTATATCGATAACAACTATTTAAATATTAAAATTTGTATATATAATAGTACTTATAAAAATAAAAATACCTACAATGGATTATGAATCAATATAGAGCTTATAATTTTTATTTTCACTTTCACTTTGTCTAAAAATATTTATTTCTGTTAAAAAGAGGATGGTAAGTGAAAGTTATGTGATAAGTGCACCGAACCAGATTTTTTTTTCGAATGAATATATTGAAAATATCTAAACAAAATAATTGATTATATTTATATATATTAAATGTGGTTGGAGGAAGAGAGGCTCCTTAACGTAGGGACAATGTTTAGAACTTTTTCAGTTGAAAATGAATAATGTTAAACTGAATAGTATTTTGATTCTTGAATCTATAAAACTTCAAAATAAAAACATAGCGTTTTCGCAGTCTATGTAAAAATGTTTATAATAACATTATGTATAAATAAATGCAATACCTCTTGAATAAGTCCTTAAGGTTATAAATTTGATTTTTTTTTGTTTCAAATTATCGGGTGAGGGAGGGAGAGGAAATGATATTCTCGTCGCTCAATATTTTTATTAGGAGGCAACGGCCCTCGAACCCCTCCCCTTGAAGTCTGCATCTATGTCCATCACTTCTCCACGAAATTCTCTTTCGTTTGATACACCATTCATCAAAATTCATCAATCCTTAGAACCGAGGATTCTCTATACTACCGTAATATGTGTATTCAAGATGTTTTGAATGAAAATTAATTCCTCCCATTCATAACACATGGCAGTTACTAATTCCCAAGTTAAATTGCCATTTATCCACTAACCAATATTCTATGATAATTATTTTGCACGAGCCAACTTGTATCTAATTTCCATAATTCATTAAGGTTGAGTAGTTTGTATCGCATCAATTTTGATAATCCTTGACTAATGGAATGAACAAGATTTTTTTATTGATTTATATTACATTCTGTCGCAACTACGGATAGTAATATTAGTGATAAAAGAATTCATTTCCGACCATCATATTTACAAGTTAAATAGAATAATAGCAAAATAATAATATTTATTTAAATCAGTAGAGGATCCAGGATTATTTATTTGCTGCTGGCAGATCTCAGCCATTGATAGATCTATTCTATGGTTTTTCGGTTAAAGCAGAATATGGAAAAATATTTTTGAAAACTTAGTTGTTGACCGTTATATATTTTAGAGGAAGGAGGTGATCGGGGGGTGGCGGTTACAAACAGACTAAAATAGTAGAAAAACTATTTTATTTAAAGCCGACGTTTCGACCCGAGTTTGCGGGTCTTCTTCAGTTTTAACTGAAACTCCGTGCTGCATACATCCCCTGAAGAATTATTATCTTATCTTTTGTTTTGTTTTTTTATCTCTATTAATAATTTTTAAGAATAAAAAAATTAATTTTAACAATAAAAAAAAATTTAAGACGATATAAAATTAGTCCTTAAATTTAAAGCCAATATGTAAATGTATTCACTAGCGATGGTTCTAAACAAAATAAAAATTTGTGATCAAGATTATTATTTTGTTTAAATTTTAGATGTCACACAAATAAACCAAGTAAAAAAATTCAATTTTAAAAGTTAAAAATGTATCTTATATTGAAATATATTGGCACCTTCCAATGTGTAGTGACTGTAATAGATAGGTCTTTATTTAAATTCGATCAAGAAAATGAAAAATGAAAATAAATGGGAATAAAAATCTTAACATTTTTTAAAACTATAAATTGATTTATTAGAACTGGGTAATGTGAAATGTGTTCATTTAAAAATAATTCCATAAGATCTAAAAATACTATTTTTATGAGTTTTTAATTTTTTATAGATATATTCTTGAAATAAAAAAAATCGATAAAGTTTGAACGAAAACCTAATGTTTGATTTGATTTTATTACGAAGAACAGTAATGATATGAGAGATAATTTATTTATATATTTTTCTTGACACATGCTTAAATTTAGTAGATAAAAACATGCATCATAATTTAAAAAGACTATATAGTTTGATTTTTTTTTTTTTAGTATTTGGCCCAGATTACTGATAAATATGGACCATAAGAAAAAAATATTTTTCAGAGGAAGGAGGTGATCGGGGGTGGCGGTTACAAAGAGACTAAAATATTAGAAAAACTATTTTATTTAAAGCTGACGTTTCGGCCCGACTTTGCAGGTCTTGTTCAGTTTTAACTGAAACTTCGTGCTGCATACATCCCCCTGAATAATACCTGCAAAGTCCGGTCAAAACGTCGGCTTTAAATAAAATAGTTTTCTACTATTTTATTCTTTTTATGGCTGCCACCCCGAACCATCTCCTTCCTCTGAAAATATTTTTTTTCACGTTGTCCATATTTGTCAGTAATCTGAGCAAAACATTAAAAAAACGCTGCAAATTATTTCACTATGGTTTATTATTTTCAAACAATTATACATCTTAAGTAACATTCCCTTCCTAGTTACAAAGAAAAATAAATAAAAGGTTATTCCAATTATTGGACTACACTTTTTTTTTTTTTTTATCATTAGTAATATGCTAACAAGAAAATAGCATTAATTCAGTAACACATTCAAAATTTAAAAACCAAACAGAGGATATAACATATAAAAAAAAAGCTGTAGACCATATATTTGCTCCGAATTGTTCAATTTTAACGATTTTTTTTTTGTTTTTTAGGAAATTCCGTAAACTTAAAAAAAAATCACACCCAATATCGACACAAAAGTGCAAACTTTTTGAGTTATTCGGAATTTAATTTTACCATCCCTCGTAACTTTTTTTCCAGCTTCTTTTTCTTTGAAGTATGTTATATAGATAAATTTAAAGGGCCTCGAGAAAATGATTTTAGCGAAATTTCATTGAAATCGGTACATTGGTTTAGGAGCTACACTCTATAGCAACGCAGGTTTTTCGGCCGCCATTTTGAAAGTAAAAGGCAGACAGTAATGACAATGAAGGAAGATCATCCTCGGGTGACCTCTGATTTTATATCCGAATTTGAAAATAATCGGTCCAGTAGTTTCGGAGAAAATGCGCGGACGGCGGACGGACAAAAAAATATTTTTATTCGTTTTTCGAATACTAGGCATCCTGAAAATTGAAACCTCAAATGTTGAGAAGGGGTTAAGTTTTTGAATTTTTTGGTCGATCACAATGGTTGATTATTCAAAATAATAAACCAAAAAAATTTTTAAAAATCAAACTATATACTCTTTTTTTAAATTATGACGCATGTTTTTATTTACTAAATTTAAGCGCATGTGTCAAGAAAAAAATATAAAAAAATTATCACTCATAGCATTACTATTCCTGTAAATGAGTATTTATTATTATTATTTACAGGCCTTAAAGGATCATTTAAATAATTTATGTTTTATATATTTTTTTTCACTTTCCTCCAGACTAATCAATGCTATAAAAAAAAAAAATCCAAGTCTCCAAAATTAAATCCTAGATCCGCTGATGCCTTAGCCGCATCATTGGTATTAAAAGTTAATTAAAATTAAGTTATTTTAAATACTTTTGCTAAAACTCACCAATAAGAATAGCTCCAGCCATCTCGAAGAAGGTGGCCAGGATGCAGGCTGCCTTCACCGAAAGGACTTTGGAGCCGACGGAAGTGCCGAAGGAGTTGGCCACGTCGTTGGCCCCGATCCCGAAGGCGAGGACGAAGGCGACCAAGAAGCTGACCACCACTAACCACACCACATCCCCTGACATCTCCTCCATCTTCTTAGTTATCTTTCACTCACAACACAAGTTATAGGTCCGATCCACACATAGCTAAACCTATCACAGCCTCAACATGGTAGAAAAATAATTTTTCATGTACAGCTTATAAAATAAACTCTTTCCACAATAATAAAAAAATAATTGGCGGATATTTTTGAGAAAGAGTATTGAATGTGGGGTTATAATTCGTGTGGCTGTCTCTTCTTGACGTGCGGTTGCACGTAGTTGTGTGCCCTCTCTCCTGCCATCTGCCGGGGGCGATCACAACTCCAGGATCAGTCCGGGGGTGGGGAACGCCGATCTGAAACAGCCAACAAGAAATTCATTACTTTTATTAATCACCATAACATTTATTAAAAAAAAAATAATATATATATATTATTCATACCATTATAAAGATATTTTTATTATTGTATTACAATACATCAAATTAAATTGCCAGAAAGAAGTGTTTAATAGAACCAACATTATATTTATATATTATTTCACAAAGGGGGTGCTTATTGTTCTTCAAGTCTTCTTCAAATCCAATGATTGAGCAATCATTTTAAGATTTTTTTTTCTCTTTCAAGTGAGAAAAATAGTCACATCCAGTCAAAATTTTAGAAAAACTTATGAAGGAAAATACTTTATTTGTGAATAAATCAAAAATAGTACATTTAATTGTTGAATGTACACACGATTATTTGAGAGGTTAATAATATAGTTTAGAGGTTAGATACAGGTTTATTGCAATTTGTAAACATGTTGTTTTAGACCATGAATAAAGTTTTAAAATAATTTCCTTTTCCTAGTTTTATTTTAATTGCTACATAAATAAGAATTCATTCCTTCCTCTTATGATACGTTACAATATTTGATATCCTTTTAATTTTGTTATTTTTTCACTGACCAATATACTTCGCGCATTTTTGTACGGGCCAACTAGCAAAATATTTGCAAATTTTGAACTTCGAAAATTATGTTGCTCACATAATAATATTTCTAATTATTTTGCTCCTCCTAGAAAAATGTATCATTTGCAGTCACATCCTGGTTCCATCGGCAGTGATATAAAAGACAATGAAAGACTTTATATTTAAAAAAGTATGGAGTGGGTATCCTTTTATATATTTAGTCGCACATACAATGCAGCCCTTCTTTAGAAATATATGTTTTTCACAGGTAAAGAAAAATACCTCAATAGTTGCAATTCAAGTGTGCAATTAAATGTGCGGCATTAATAACATGTAAAAATAACATAGTAACGAAATAATTGAAGAGAAGAATGGTTGGAGTGATCAGTCAAAAAAAATATAGTAAAAATAAATATAATTATTTATTTTTACTATTCTTTTTTACTCCCCATAAAATTGTCAATAGATACTACTGTAAATATGTATATAAATTATCAGCTCGTTTTTTAGTATTTTTACCTCATATTTTTTTCATTTTTTTTTATTAGCTAATTAATGCTGAAAAGTGACATATATATTTTTTTATTATGACTATTTAATTACTCTATATTTTTGTTTATGTATCTCTGAGGATCCTTAGCCCACATTTCAGTCTTTTTGTATTATTCTAAAGGGACTCGTCCCAGAATAAATAAAGTATTATTATTATTATTAAATATCTTTCATTTAACTTGTTTATATATATTATTGTAAGTAATACATAACACATAGACACACTTAAAGTATAATACATACCCTTGCTGAGCTATGTTCAGCATTACAAATGTTCTCAACAGCTCTGATATAAAGAAAAATAAGTTATATAAGAAAAACTGTAGGGCTCTTACATTACATTGAACAAAGTTTTTAAAAAATATGTATTTCAAAAAAAATTGAATTGAATAAATTGTTTACTATTTATTACTATTAAATTATACCCTCTTTCATTTAATTAAATTTAGTCGGGTACGTTTGGGAAAAACTATTTTGTTTCATTAAACAGTAAGTTTTCAAAGTTTATCGATTTTTTTATTTCAAGAATATAGCTATAAAAAATTAAAAACTGATAAAAATAGTATTTTTAGATCTTATGGAATTACTTTTAAAGCAACACGTTTCACAATAATCAGTTCTTATACATCAATTTATAGTTTTAAAAAATGTTAAGCTTTTCATTCCCATTTATTTTCATTTTTCATTTTTCGAATTTAAATATAGACCTATCTATTAACAGAAAGGTACAGTCACAACACATTGGAAGGTGCCAATATATTCCAATATAAGATGTATTTTTAACTTTTAAAATTGGATTTTTTTATTTGGCTCATTTGTGTTACATCGAAAATTTAAACAAAATAATTGAACGAGGATCTTGATGACAAATTTTTATTTTGTTGTTTAGAACCGTCGCTAGTGGATACATTTACATACTCAATTTAAATGTAAGGACTAATTTTATATCGTTTAGAATTTATTTTTATTGTTAAACTTAATTTTTTTATTCTTGAAAATTATTAATAGAGATAAAAAAAATAAAAAAATATTTATTTATATTTACTTCTTAATATAAATACAATTGTATCATATATCAGTTATATTGTTTCTACGACCATGCGTCTTATAAGATTAATATAGTATTAATTCTTCCGAGAAAGTAGAAAAGTTCATACAATGTTGTCTTTGAGGAATTATATATTTAAAGCCACATTAACGGATGAATAGCTATATTTTTCGAGTTATTTAAACTTAATAATAAGCCCATAATGTAAAAAAATAAAAGTTTGTAATATCCACTTAACTATTTCCTTTGAGTAGGAGAGTTACTAGGATTTTTCAATGTGGGCTGAAAAGATTAAACGTAATTTTGCCGCCCCTTCTTTCATCCTATCATCTCTTACTTTCCCACCCTTTCTCCTGCCATAAAAAACTTTATTATTTTAGGTTATACTTATCGAAATAAATTTCATCATCTCATAACATTAAACCTTTTCATTTATTGAATCAAATATATATATATATATATATATATATATATATATATATATATATATATATATATATATATAAATTTTCTCTTTTAAAAAACAAAACATTAGTCCCATAAAAATATTATTTCTAAAAAAAATCTTAAAATATATATGTATATAGGATACTATTCAATGGTAGTAATTGTTCTATTACTTTTTTTAATTTTTTCTCCAAATTCCTTTTTATAATAAGAATAAAAATTCCATTTTTCTCCTAATTTTGTAAAACCATCTATCCTGCAAATTAACAACTAATTTATAATGTAATAATTTTAAAAAAACTTTATTTCATTTAAAAATATTATTTTTAGGCATAATTTTTAAATGAAATAGTGTTTTGGATTTATAAAGGTTTGTTTTAAATTATTCCACAGTCAATGGCTAGTTAATTTGTAGGATGAATGTTTTTATAAAATGAGGAAAAGAAAGTAATTTTTGTGGAGATTTGTAGGAAAAAGGTAATATAACAAGACTTTTTATATTTAATATAAAATTACTACCATTGAAGAGTGTTCTATATACATATATATTTTAAGAATTTTTTCAGAACTAATGTTTTTATGGGACTAATGTTTTGTTTTTCAAAAGAGAAAAAAAAATTGGAAATAGCTCTTGGAGTAAACGGTAAATAATAATTTTTAAATGTTCTTTTATACATTTAAGTTACAACTGTATTATAAAACAATAGAACTATTAAATGTGCACTCAGGAATATAATAACATGGAATCGCTTGTTGAGAAACTATCCACTGATAGCACTCAAATAATAAATTTACACAAGAAGATCACGAGGCCAACTTCTTTTCAGACGCCTTGGAGGGTTATCGGATGCTCGGAGCTGGATAGGGATTGCGCTAGAGGATTGGGATGATGAATGAGGTTCTGGTGGAAGTTGGAGAATCTGGATGGGATGATGTCATGGACATATGGGATGTTAAGGTCATGGTGTAGGGTCTTGTTCGTGACATAATATGGAGCATTGACTATTGTTCGAAGGACTTTGGACTGGAAGGATTGGATGCGTTTGATATTCGATGATTTAGTTGTCCCCCACAGTTCAAGTCCGTAGGTCCAGATAGGTTTCAGTATGGTCTTGTAGATTAATAATTTGTTTTCTGTTGAGAGATGAGATCTTCTGTGGAGTAAACGGTAAATAATATTTTTTAAATGTTCTTTTATACATTTAAGTTACAACTGTATTATAAAACAATAGAACTAGTAAATGTGCACTCAGGAATATAATAACATGGAATCGCTTGTTGAGAAACTATCCACTGATAGCACTCAAATAATAAATTTACACAAGAAGATCACGAGGCCACCTTCTTTTCAGACGCCTCGGAGGGTTATCAGGGATCGAGGAGGAAGCAAGGTTTGAAACGAGAGGGTTCGGATGGTTCTGGAGTTTGTAATGGAAGGATAGGTATCTGAATTGGGCCAAAGTGGAAACATATGGAACATTAAGGTCTTTATGGATGATTTTATTTGTGACAAATTAAGGAGCGCTTAGGATTTTACGAAGGATTTTGGATTATAAGGATTGGTTACGAGAGGGATTTGATGGTTTAGTGGAGCCCCAAAGCTCAATTCCGTAAGTCCAAATAGGTCTTATTATTCTCACATATATGAGTCATTTTTAATTGATTTAAAGCTTAGAGAGATTGTCTAGTAAGTGTTGGAGTAGTCGGAAACGTCAAGCGGTTTCTTGTCGTTTCAGTCTTGTATGAGGATTCCATGTGAGCGTTTGTCCAGGTGGAGTCCAAGGTAATGGATTTGTTCAACTGGGATGAGTGGGGAATCGTTAAAGGATATAATTTTAAAATGTATAAGAAAATGTAAAATGAAAGGCTGTGAGATTAAAAAAGGGTTTCGATAAATACACAATAATATATAGTTTAAATATAATAATTTTTTTCGTCAATTGCCGAACGGTACAAGTACTATTTTTGCTCCTCATATGAGTCCTGGTTGTATATATGCAAAGTTTAATACAGTTAGAACTCGAACACATAAAAAAAAATGTTATACATTGAAAAAAAAATTGTCCAACAATAATTCTTTCTGTTTGAACAATCGCCAAAAAAGATCAGAGCATCTCAAACTGGGTTCCTTAAGTATATTCCAAGTGTGTCGCGGTAATAATATTGTGTTGCAGTATTAATTATATAACGTTAAAAGCGAAAGATTGGTGAATAGACACTTTTAAAATTCATAATATTATATTGTA